CCAATGAGTCTCTCACCCGAGAAGTCGACACCCAGAGCATTCTCCCCCCGCTGCCACGAAGGCATCTGAGAGGTGCTCTGGGGTGTTGGTGTCGACTAACTCTCCCCCCGCTGCTCCAGAGCGCCAAACTGGGATGCAGAAGTGGTGGTGGGCCCTCCCAACACGCCGGGATCGGGAGGAGTCCAGACGGCCCCCAAACCGATGACCTCAGAAAAAGAAAGACGCGAAGGTCCGTCTGCCAGGTTCGATTTGCTCTCCACGCGATCAATGTAGACAAAAGCACGCGAGCGGGAAACGTACAACCAAAAATCGCCAACGAGAGAAGAGCTATCCACCTTCGGTGAATAGCCTTTAATTAGGCTCGCAGATGCACTGTCATTGTCGCAGAAGTGGATGATCGAACGATTCTGGAGACGATTTGACCAAGTGTTAAAGGCTAGCGGAGCGGCAAGTAGCTCTAATTGACCCATAAATGACTTTCGTTGGAGCCAACGCGAGACTACAGAGTCAGGAACAACCCAGGCGGTGTACGCCTGAAAATTTCCCAATGGGTCAAAAAGGTATGCTCCAACAACTCGTTGGGGGTTACGCCCTGGGACATCGGACGCATCGGTGTAAAGTAACACTGGGTTCTCATGGCAAATTCTGAGTTCCCGGGAGGGACTCTCGACCACAAAGCGCAGCATCAACTCTAATGCTTGCGCAAGCTCTTGGGTGAGGACATTCGTCGGGTATGTGGCGTACTGTCGACGCCTCAAGGCTCCCGTACAACATCGTCCCACTTTTCCGAAAAGTGTGGAACAAAGAAATTGAAATTTTCCTACCAGGCTCGCAGCTTGGTGAGGGGAAAGACTGCGTCCACACAGGATCTTCTGGATCGACTCCTTCAGAAAGGTGATCCGAGACTCTTTTGCACAGACAGTAATCAGACGTTGTAGGGTTTGGGTACAGAACACCACGCCCAGAATACTACAGAGCTCAGAAAACCTCTGGGATTTCTCTGGGTCTAACCCCAGGAGAGTAAATGTCTCGCGGAGGCAAGCCATCGCTGATTGAATCGTTGCCTCTGGCTCAACCACGAAGAAATCGTCGAAAAAAATGATCAACTAACATGTGAAACAATTTCTGCATCACGCGAGAAATCCATTCCGCAACCCTACAAAAATTCGGAACAGCGTGACCAGCTCCGAAGGGCTGACCGTACATCTCATGCAGGGTCACTCGGTCCTTCGTGGGGTCATAAACTGCTGTCAGAGCAAAGCGGACGTCGCAGGGCGCCAGGGGAATTTGCCTGTAAGCCCCTTTCATGTCCCCTGTGCTAAGACTTATCTGTGGGGATTGGCGTGCCAGCGCGCGAACCAGAACTCCCACATAGTCGACCATTGCCATTGGCACCTTTTGCAGTCGGTGGGCAACTCGGTTAACCCCCAGACGCTGTGTGATCATCTATTCTGCGATACTTTAGCTGCCCATCATTATCGAAGCCTTGCTGAAGCCCAAAGCTCGGTGTAACTTGCAGAGTTCCTGAATAAAGTCTCCGCGCCTCCTCTAATGTCAAAGCTGGACCCATTGTTCCAGCTTCGATTTCCTTCTTGGTTTTCTCCCAGATCGCTTGTGCAAGATCAGGGGACCCTTGCTTGGCCATATACGCGACACGATCTATCATTGCTTCTGAGCGATCTGAGCTGCCCTGGAGGAAATCTTCCCAGGACATACTTGGTGGAACAGCCAAGTCTTCAAAGAAAGGTGATGTATGAGCCCTTCCCGTAATGCGCATGCCTTGAAGGCATAACTGAGGTACCTGCTTATCCTCGATGCCCAAAAGAGTCTGCACACGATCCATGAGCAAAATGTTAATCTTGGTTCCCAACTTCTTTGCTGTCCATGATGCATCCTTGTTGGCTTTCGCCTGTGCGCTTTCCAGCTCCTGCTTCCAAGCGCGAATCATTTTGAGTGATTCCATTCTCTTCAAAATCAACCTCGAGTGATCTTTGATCATCTCCAACGCTCGTGCGTGTTCAGGTTTCAATGTGCACAACGAGTCAAATGGGTGTGTGAGAGTCTTGGCAATCTCCAGGTGTGCTTTTGGGTCATGTAGCCCATCTGGAATAAGCTGGACTCGCTTCCCAAAGCTAGGCTGACTCCCTGCTTCGGTCGCTTGCCTCCTATACGCACTTTCGACGGGTTGCAGGGGGGGTCCGGTTTTAAGGGTCCGGGTCCCTGGAGACTTCCAAACGAGGAAGACGCTAGTTTAGTCTCCCCGCTCTGGAGTAGCTTTGAACCTCCGCCGGCATTTGCTTCCGGGCACTGGAGTTTGTTTGCACTTACAGTCAAGGTGCTTGCTTCCGAGTGTTCGAAATTCGAGAACAGAGGGCCTCCCTCCTCCCCTTCGACTTTGGTGTTCCATTCTCTTGCGACTGCATGAGAAAGAGGTGCGTTCGGCCCTGAGAATATTTCTAAAAAGGTAGCCCCTTTTTTCCCCAAGGCCTTGCTGATCCCACGCGCACAAGAAGTACAGAAACCCTCAGGGTATTCACGTTCTTCAGAAGTTGGGAAGGAGGTGACTTTCCCGTTTTCGATGGTCGGCTGCCACGAGTGGGCTGAACCGGTTCGTGAGCAGAGCCTACTCGATCGACATTCGAGTCCCACAAAACGTTCCAAACCCGGGATGTTGTGGATTAAAACTTGAGACTTTCGACGTTTGCAAGGGTGAAACATACATGCATGGTAACTTGTGGTTTGTACCCCCGACATCCTTTCAAGCTTTTGCCAAGAGACCAGTCCTCGTGCAAGACTATTTCGTGGATGTTCGAGGCTGAAGTGGCGGCCTTCGCGATGAGCAGAAATGCAACTCTCTGCAGCTAAGTCAGCCATATGTGTGTCTAAATCCAGCTTCCTTCTCTTAGAGACAGGAAGGCTGTCTAACACTTCAGGGACGCCCTCGGGGAATTCGATGCTCCTAAGCGGCTTGGGCGAGTAAATGGCTCCTGGAATTGGCCTCTCCCTCGCCCTTGAAAAGGTACAACAATTTGGGGCCCAGATGCGTAACATCCGCCTTGCTCAAACTGAATCTCAGTTCGGCTCCGTCTCTAAAAACGTCCTTCCCCCGCAGAAGATCCCAAGGCTCAGCGACTCTTTTCCGGAAGACGCTCTCATCCCAAATGCGGTGGCCGCATCCGCTGCGGGACGAGCTGCGCCCTACTCCGAGCTCCTCTTCCAAGGCTTGTCGCTGGCTTTGGCTCTCGCAGCTTTAGCCTTCTGGATCTCCTTCTGCTCCTTTCGCCAACCAGGCGGGATTGCACAACGAGGCTCATGGCGTTTCTTGCAGATCATACACAACCTGGCCTTCTCGGGCGTCTCATGGGTTGACTTCTCGTCATCACCATCTCTCTTTCTCTTCAAGGGCGACCTATCGCGTTGTTGTTTTTCGGCGTTGAACCCCTTCTCTTTGCCCTGGTCTGGCAGGTGTTCAGGCTGGGCGTTCAAAAGCCGCCAAAGCCCTTCCCCTTCTCCAGCCCTGGCAAAGAACTTCAAGCCTGCTCCAACTGTTCCACTCCCCTTGGCCACGACCCTGAGGATCTCCGTCATGATCTCCCTGTCGCAGCGCAGAGCTTCATTGTTTGTGGGAGGGCGCATGCCAGCTGCAACGCTGGCCCGCAACAAACCTACCATTCGAGTGTTATACTCCTCAAATTCCTGGAATGTTGCAACCTCCAACATGTGAAATGCGCGCCCACGCAAGTCCAGCAGATCTTTCAAGGTCAGCAAGTCGTGGACCTTCGGGGGTTCAGGGAAATCCTCATCCTTTGTGTCCAAGATGAGTTTCTTGTCATCCAAAATGAGCTCCTTTCGATCTTTTGGCAACTTACCTGCCCTCCTCAGTCGGGCCTCGCATTCCAAATTCACGAAACTATCCCAACCGAGGTGTTGGTAGGCTCCCCCAGGGCAAAAATTGTTTTGCACCTTGGTGAGGGTAAAAAGAGAAGGCCGGCCTCTGTCGGACGAAGGCGGCGGCATTCCGCTGTTTACTGCCTTGTCTTCCAACTCCTGACTCATCGCTACGGTGATCTTAGATTTGATCTCTCCGTCGTCTCCTGCCATGCGCTCCAGGTTACGTTTCGATACCTGGGTGGCTAGCGACCATAGCT